AAGGGTCTAGGCCCGAAATGTCAGCCTTCCTGCTCCTCTGATGCTGCTTGGCCTGCTGTGTTCATCTAGCTCTACACCATCTTTCAAGTGGATCTCTTTATTTCAATTTTGTTTTGATAATAATTCAATGTTGTGCACTAAAACTGCCAAACATAGAAGTGAAGCCTTAGCCTGAAGGTTTTATCAAAAATGTTTACTCTGAATTCCTGAAATTGGTTGTTCCTTGTCGAGTGGATTGAAAATAAATCCGTTGCAAATCTACTTGTGGAACTTGCCTGGTGCTGTCACTTTAATTGATGAACCACTGAATCTTAGACTTTCTCCAACCAATGTGGCTTCAACTTAGCATTGATATTATCAGTCACAAATAAAGATGAAACACTGGTTACCTTAGAGCATAGGATCGTAATAAATAAGCTCAGGTCTAGGTCTTACAGTCCTGGTTTGCCATTCAATAAGATCATGTCTGATCGGATTGTGGTCTTAACTCCATTTTTTATTGTTCTCTATAGGTAGAGCCAAGACACCCTAAGCCCCCTCCCAGAAAGAGAAGTACCACAATCTGCACCAGTGAATCCATGTGACAGTGAAGCCCGAGTCATCAGAATACAGTCACCTGGATTCAACCTTTTGTTTTACTGTCCTGCCTTCACGAGCCAAGCAATGCGTGACACACTGGGAACGATGAAGATACCACCGCCTGGAAAGTGCTTCACATTTACTGCAGATGCCTTCAGCGCTTACCTATAAGTATAATAATCTGTATCAAAACATGTTTTCTTTTCTTTGCACTACACACAGTGATGAAACAAAATTCAGAGGGAGGCTGAATTGAAATGTTTGAGAGTCCAGCGCATCTTCATTTTTTTTTGTGTGAGAACATTCCAGCACTTCTGTAGTACTTGACTATCAGAATTAGTTCCTTTGCTTCAGAACAATCTAGAGAAAAAGTTTTCAGAGCTTTGAGCTATTATTTATGTACACAGAGATATCTGCTCTATTATATGCAGGTTTATCCATTATATCATACACAGGTACATCTGTTATTCAGTAATATAAGCATGTATGCTATTCTGTCCACAGATATGTCAATTACACTGCAGACAGGCATGTATTATGCTGTGCAGAAGTGTATCTGATCGACTGTACATTTATAAATGTTGCACAATATGCAGGTATCTATTATGAAGTGTGTACAGTGTATCTGATGTATTGTGTGCAGTGTTTCTGTTGTATTGTACACAGGTATGCCTTTTGTACTGTATACAGGTATACCCACTATATTGTGCTCAGGTATATCTGTTGTATATTAGTTATATATATTTGTTGTCTAAGTTAAAACTCATAAGCACATTGCGCACAAAGTTAAGACAGTAAAGCTGACAAGGCTATCAGGATTATGTTTCTTTTCAGGACGAACCTTTTGTGATTCTTGCACTGTTGACATTGACAGTAAAGGTTCCGTTTTTGCACCAAAATACAAATCATAACAGCTTTTATGTTTACTCCTGGAACAGTGTTCCCTAATCACTGCTGGGTAATAATCATACAACAGAATCCATTCTGAAACCTAAAGGATCGACTTAACGTCTGAATTCTCTTATCGTGTTCTGCTTATGTAGCATTTGTTAAATAGCAGGCAGGATTCATGATTTATTAAGAGGGTTACGTGGCCAAGTGCTGATTTTTGAGACAGCGAGGAAGAAGTGAATTAAGAATGAAATAATTTGGGAACATAGGATTAAGCTATTCAATCCCTCAAGCCTGTTCTATCATTCAGTTACATTATGGCAGATCTGTACTTAAACTCCACTTATCCACCATCACTCCATGTTTCAATTGCAGTTTTAAAATTTAATGTGCTCCTTCTTTAGAAAATCCAATCAGAGTTAGCAATGTTTATGATTAAACAGTTTAGCTGAACGGGGCCCATTGGGACATTAGTGCACAAATGACAAAGTAATGTAATATTACAGGTGATACCTTATTTTTGAGTGTCAGATATTTCATATTTAGAATATTTAGAATACCATGCAGATTGATTTGAAAGCAAAGCTAAGAACGACCACAACAGAGTTTCCTGTTTGTCTCTGGTGAAAATAATCAAGTGCAGTTTTAGGAATATGGGTGAGCTGAATATGATTGTCCTGCCACAACCATTTCCCTGTAATTGGACAGTTTCTCTATAAAATGTACTGGTGTTGTAATATCTCGAGAGCCCTTCTGAATTGTACCACTGGTATCAACTAGTGTTGTTAGGAATTAAGGAAGAAATATCATCATAATCACAGTCTAAACATTTCAAACACTATTATGTACAAAAGTCCCATCAACTCCATATCAAACAGGTTCACATCTCTATTGAAATAGACAGAAGAATTTGACAAGTTCTTGTTCCATTAGTATCATAGTAGCATATTGAACAATAAATATATAATCCTTGGAATTTCGTGACTATTCAATAAATTGTATGTCCTCTCCCTTTACTTAAGGTTCCCTCCTTCCTTTGTGATATGCAATGTTCTTCTGAGCCTGAGTCAGAAGGTTGTGGGTTCATGTCCTTTAATATGGTCTTGAACAGAAAATCCAGGCTGATGATCCACGAGAGTGATAAGTGAATGGTGCACGATTGGAGATTCTATCTTCTGAACTAGAGGCCCAAGGTGGGATTTAATGGGACAGTGGTCAGTTCATCCACAAGCTGAAAAAGGTGGGTAGGACTGCTTCCAGCTGGTCTTAGAAATACCAACAGCAATTTTTGACCATCCCTGCTTTGGGGGTTGAGTAGCTGCCTGATTAGATGGGAGGCTTACTCCCAGCAATGCCACTAAGAACAATGGTCAACACTGGGACTGCAAAATCTGTGGCATAGGGTCACCAGCTTTTGAATGGACCATTCCTGAAGTTTTCATCATGTGACCTTTTCCAAATATTTCTATAACTAACATAGAAGCGTGTACAAAGGAAAAGGATTTCTATTTCTTTTCCTCTGCTCATTGCTTGGAGTATTGTTTGGGATTAATCTTCAGGGCAGTCAATCCTTGTCGTAGAGATGATGGCAGCCTCCAAGGAGCTTCTCCAGAAAGGATCCCTACAATTTTCCCACTTCACTGGTAAAGTGCCAGTGGCAGAGGGACAGTAACAGGCATGTCAGCCTTTGATATCCCAATCTAATTTTGTGTATGATAAGATGTATCAAAACTAGGTCTGGAGTAAAGTCATTTTTTTTTCAGGTTTAAGACTTCTGAAAGGTACTCAGTGAGGGTTCCATTTCCAGTGAGATGCATACAGGGACCCAAATTGTGGCAGGCTAGGAACTTGGAGTCTATAATTGATTGAGATTACAGGCAGATGCTTTATTTGATATACTGTGGTCAATAAGCTTTGAACATGGAAAAGTTATCAAATCTTCTTTAAATTTAATTAACTTCAAAACAGCCCTAGCTTGCATTGATGATTGCATTCCCTCCCAAGTAATTGTGACTTTTTAAGCCAATTCTTTGAACAAAATATCTTGTGGAAAGAAAAAAAGAGCCTTTTCCCTTTTATATGTTGCATGTTTTCCATTGACGTATTTTAAATGCTCAATTGTGTCGCTCCAAAAAATCAATTAGTTAAGGTTTGCATTAATGTCCTGGGGTTTCTTATTTTGGTAATGCATTTAGTTGATAGATCTTACCTTTAATATGTAGGCTGCTATTTAACTAGTATTTCTTGCTTGTGACTAATCTTGTGTAGTTTAGTATCCCTTAGCTAGTCATTTTAGCAATTCGGTATTACTTCAGTAGGTGGCTTTTGGACCGGCTGATCTCTTCCAATGAAATGTTAAATTAACTCCTTGTCTTGCTCTCTGTGATTGGTGTAAAGGATCCTACAGTATGGTTAGAAGCTAGAGCAGAAATGTTCGCCATGGTGTCCTAGACAATACTTATCCTTCAATCAACATTTGAAAATACAGTAACTAGATATCAACCAGGTACTGTATGAAGGATCTTGCTGTGTGCAAATTGGCTGCTATATTTCTTACAACAGTGAACACACTTCAAAAGGCACTTTGTTCACTATAAACCTTGTTTGGATCTGTAGAGGGTGTGAAAGGCACTATTTAAATATAAATCTTTCTTTATTATTCATGTCAAATTAGAAACTGCATTAAGTCTCTTCTATAGCACTGCTCCAGCACAAAACTCTTAAAACCTTGCCACTCTTAATCCAGTATGGAATGTAAATTACTCTTTGCAGATTATGAATTTTTTTCTCTTAACTATAAACATGGTTTTCTACTTCAGTTGAATGGTGCAGTGGGAAAACAAATATATTCAGAACAGACTTCTTTGTTGCTAATGTTTTTTGTATTTTTGTATTTCTGTATTTTTTCAGATTGAGAAACCTAGGTGATTATCTGAAATAAGGCTGAAGAGAGTAAGAGATGATTTGAAGCATAAAGATGTAGCTTGATAGCTTCAGGCTTGGATTTTCAGAATGTACTTGTGAATTGTTTTCGCCAGTGCTGCTGACCCCCATGACTTAGTTATGTTTTCCCAACTAACACCACCAATATAGTGGAACCATATGTTATTCATTTTGTGCCAGTAAGGATAGTATTGCATATTAGGGTAGTAGTATCACAGAAACTGCATTATAAATTCAATAAAGCAGCATTTATTGTCCATCCTTAACTGGCCTTGATGAAGCTTACTGCTTGGGGATGAACAATAAATCCGACCTAGATTGCCCACAATCCATAAATGAATATTATTTTTAAAAATAAGCTCTTCTGACACCATTCGGGATGGGGGAGTTCTCTTAATATCTCTAACCCATATAAGGACTCGCGAAATAAGTAACTTAACATTGTTCCTTTCTGAAATTGTTCAACTGAATTTCGGTCTTTGTAACTTTCCACCCAAATATCATGAGTGGCTGTTAAGTAGCGATAATTCCTTCACTTCTGGTGAATACTAACACAAGTGTTGGGAAATCTTGCTTGTTTCTTTTGGAATAACTTAATGCTTCTTAACATGTTTAGTCATTGAATAAGACATAACAGTCAGAATTTTCTGCTTGTGAACAGAGCAAAAAATCCTGGAAAACACCTTAGAAGATGTAAAAGCTGAATGCATGCATTTAGAATTAGTTTTGAAAGTAAAATGTGCAGAAGAAATGTGTATTTTAGCCAGAAATGTCATAAAACATCACCATTCATATTTAAAAATCATTTCATACTTATGCAACCACAGTGTGTCTTACAGATCTTTTCTAAGGCTTGAAACCTCCCTGAATGAACCAGATTTGTTGGAGATTTACTGGGTTTTAAACAGTACAGTGGTTGATATTCTTATGACTCCAACTTCCCTTTTCCCAGCAGACCAGGCCTCTACCAGGCTACTGGAATCTAAATTCCTCAGTGCCCCAAGCTCTGATGGTATGCTAGAATAGAGAGGCGAAAGGATTACAGACCTGTCCTCATCAGAAAATATAAATCAAGCTGCAGATACACAACAGGGCCTTAGAAATTTCAGAAACTTGCCAAAGCCCAGGAGCAAGTATAAGAGAGTGGATATGGAGGATGATTAGTAGGTGAGTGAGACAGAACATGGGTCTGTCCAACTCAACAAATCTAATACATTTTGAAGCTTTTTCTTTAGGAGGATTAGATCTTAACTATTACAAATTCTCACTTGAGAAAACAAAACTTAGCAAGTCAGGTCTGAAGTGAGCACCACAACCTCATATCAACATTAAAATAAGGTCTGTAACTCATTTCAGAAGGCTGCTGGGGTCAGCTATAAAATGCTGTGACCAAATCAGTAGAGGCCTGAACTCCAGACAGATCTGGCAGGGTCTTCTGCAACAATAAATTGCTTATTGTCACACACCTTTCCATATAATGAGCACAATGATATTCAATTTAGATTCTACTGCCCCGCCCCGACTCTGCATTTAGATCCATTGGGTTATTGCTGGAAGTAGCAGAATTGTGATAGCAAGGAAGGGAGTAATCCTTGATGCCACATCAGATGAAAGGTACTGATACTATAGTAAAAACAGAAGATGGGTCTGAAGTTGCAATTTTACGAGCCACATTGTCAAAATTTTGAACAAATTCTATGAAGCATATGGTAGAATAGCAGGTAAGAAGAACCGCAGTTGCTAGCTTTAGTGTAAATCAAACAGTTGCACAGTCATGTGATGAGACAAAAATAGGCTCCTTCTGTTTTTAAATTTGTAAGCTTAACGTGAGGTGTTATAAAAATCAATCATGAATGTGTTACATTATATTTTTGAAGCTAGGATTTAAAATGACATTGTTAATGGATGATATCACCAGACAAAGGAAATATAACAAGTTTTCTTCCCCACAAGACTTTAGAGGGTTGGGTTTTTACAACAATTCAACAACTTCATGATTGTTTTACCAATACTAGATTCCATTTACAGATTTTAAAATGAAAGGAATTCAATTTCTCAAGGTGGGATTCAAATTCATATTTTGTGGATCATTAATTCAATAACATTATGTATATATTTATTGTACTCCAGCACAATCTGTAACCTCATGGCCCAACATATCCCCCACTCAACCATTACCACCAAGCCATGAAATCAACCCTGGGTCAATGGACAGTACAGGAGGGCATTCCAGAAGCAGCACCAGCCAGACCTAAAAATGAGGTGTCAAATGAGGTGAAGTGACAAACAGGAATACTTATGTGCCAAACAGCATAAGCAGCAAGTGACAGAGTTAAGCAAACCCACAACCATCTAAGTTCTGCAGTCCTGCCACATCCAGTATTGAATGGTGGTGGACAACTAAACAACTCACTGGAGGAGGTAGTTCCACAAACATCCCTATGCTCAATGATGGGACAATGCAACACATCAGTACAAAATTGCCTAGGTATGTCCTGTACACAAAAAGCAGGACAAATCCCACCCGGCCAATTACTGCCCTATCTGTCTACTCTTGATCATCAGTAAAGTAATGGAAACTGTTATCAGCGCTATCAACCTTCTCAGCAATAACGTGCTCAGCGATCACCAGTTTAGGTTCTGCCACGGCCACACAGCTCCTAACCTCATTACAGCCTTGGTTCAAACATGGACAAAAGAGCTGAACTCCAGAGGTGAGGTGAGAGTTACAGCCCTTGACATCAAAGCTGCATTTGACCGAGTGTGGCATCTAGTAGCCCTAACAAAACTGGCATCAGGGGTGTCAGGGGCAAACTCACTGCTGGTTGGAGTAATACCTGGCACATAGGAAGATGGTTGTGGTTGTTGGAGGTCAGTTATTTCAGCTTTAGGACATTCCTGCAGGATTGCCTCAGGGTAGTGTCCTAGGCCCAATGATCATTGGCTGGTTCATCAATAACCCACCCTCTATCATAAAGTCAGAAGTGGGGATTGCTGATGATTGCATAATGTTCAGCACCATTTGCAACTCCTCAGATACTGAAGCAGAACATGTTCAAATGCAACATTTGGACAATATCCAGGCTTCGGCTGACAAGTGGCTGTTTCCTGTAACAAGTATATTCAACACACAAAATGAAATTGCAGAAAGTATTGCAGGGATTTGGAATCTAGCTGGTTCATGTGATGGGAATTTTTCTTCTCCTGGGTGGATAGTCTGAACAGATTTTCACCATCCTGATCGATTTGTGAGCAAGGACAAAATGGCTCAGGTTTCCGCGTTATTCTGATTTTGATTTATCTTTAACTGTAAGTAACAATTTTGTACTACAGATTCCAAGTTGCTGCTGATAAGCTAAATCAGATGTAACTGCGCAGCTTAAAGTCCGCCATATGTAACTATCAAAACATGTAAAGCCTTTCAAAGCGTCAGAACAAATTGTCTGGAATCAAAAGACAGTTGTAAACGGAGTTTTAAAACATAACGTGAAAGACATTTCAGAATTTGGTCAAGTTTTGTTTGCTTATCAAGGATTGGGCAGGTTCTTGGCAACCACTTTAATTTAAAACTTGATATTGTTTAAATCACTTCATGGCCTTGTCCCTTATCTCTGTAACCTCCTCCAACTCATCAGTGTCTCTGGAAAAGCTCGGTAGGTCTGTGAAGGGAAAAAAATCAGTGTTAACGTTTTGGGTCCGGTGACCTTTCCTCAGAACCCTCCGAAATGTTAACTCTGATTTTTTTCTTCACAGATGCTGCCAGACTTGCTGAGCTTTGCCAGCAACGTCTGTTTTTGTTCCTGATTTACAGTATCCGCAGTCCTTTCGGTTTTCACCAGCGTCTGTACTCTTCTGACTTTCCAAGCTTTTTGCATTCTACATCCCCTACCCCCTCCACCTGAGTTGTGTATTAGTGGGGCCTATGGCTTCAGTCACGTGGCTAGAACTCCCTATTTAATTCACCCTCTGCCTCTCCAAGTCCTTAAAGTGGAAATTCATTCTTTGGATGAGCATCCTTTTACTCCCCCACCACACTCCCCCTCCTTTTCACCTCTGTGAAGCACCTTAGGTCATTTTTCCCTAAATTAGATGCACTAAATAAATCCAAGTTGTTATGACAGAACAGAAAACATCACCACTTTCATTATATTCACCAGAATTATGTTCTGCAGAAATCATTGTTTTTTGAAAAGTGAATCTTATTGCAAGTAAATGATCTGGAATGTATTGCCTAGAAACAAGGTGAAAGTAGAAAATTTCTAAAGGGAATGAGAAAAATACATGAAAATAAAAATATGTACGGGATGCAAAGAAAGAACAGGTAAATAGGACTAATAGAAGAGGGCTATCATAGAACTAGTACAGGCATGGATGGGCAGAATGGCTTCCTTTTGTATTGGAAGGTTCTAGCCCAACAATATGGCTGTACACTAGCTTTTACTATGGCACATTATCAAGTTTCTATTGAATCCTTGAGACTCATGTCAACCATAAACACAATATAGTTGTAATTATAAATTATCTCCTATCATTTGAAATTATAGACGTTAATACTGTCTATGCAGGATATTGTCTCTGTGTGATGCTAACACTCTTCCTGTGATAGGCTGGACAGTAAAAAAAAACAAAATAAATATATAGGCAAGAAGCTATATACTGGTGTTAAGTGTTGAGCACACAACTATTAACTAATTTTATCTTGCACTGCAGTAGTGGGCAACAATATAGACGTGTGCTGCCTTACCTCCAAGTACAAAATCACTGTGCTAGCTTGTTCACATATAGACACATTGAGTGCGAATGTAAAAAGAATTTCATGTTTTTGTAACAATTCTATTAATGCAATCTGTGCTATACAACACTGTGCATCTGTACAAGAATAATATAAATGTTGAAATATGTACTTGTACTTTCCATCAGCATATATTTAAAATAATTTATTTGCAAGATGCACTTGTTTTAATACCTTAAAAAAAAATGATAGGCCTAATGAGGATCGATGGTGACTGTCTGAATTTCTACTGTATTACTGCAGAACCTTTGTTTCTTTAAATTTGCAGCAAATAACTGCAGATCTGGCAGGCCAGAGCACTTTACAGTTGTATTCATTCACATTTGTGTTCGCTGACTACAACGGTTAACTGTATATAGAGAATTTGTTGCTGTTACACTGGTTGCATTCAGAGTGCTGCATGAATTAAAGGATTGTTGTCTTATATACATTTGTCACAGAATTCTTGCCATTGTAATAAAAGACTGAAAGATTATAACAAAAATGGCTGGAGCTTCATGGTTTGGGAACATATCAACTATCTTTTAAAGTGCAGTTTGTTGGATCTGCACTGCATAATTGGGTAAACTGAAATCATAGATTCACATACTGCCTGGGCTGACAATTTCAAAGCCTGCCTCAGTGTAGAAACACAATATTTTTCATAGAAAGTGGAGGTAGAAATTAAAACAATTGTTCTGACTTATATAGCTCCTTTAACAAAAGACTTGCCTTTTGCAAAGAGCAAAATATCCCAAGGTGCTCCAGAGACATATCATCTCAGTCTCATTGCCCAAACACAGATCCAAACCATGGCTCTAAAATCTTCACCATAGGTAATCCACTCTAGCTGCAATGGGATCAAATAGAGTATTGTTGGCATCAATATGATCCACAATGGCCAAAAAGTGAACTACGACAATTGCCCCACTTCACCCTATGTTGCTACATTCATTTTACATGCATGCTGCAGTCCACAGATATGGATAGTAATGGTAGAGATTCCAACTTCTTTCCATCACATGGTTGACCAGGAAACTCTTCCACTCTTGCAGCCTGTCATTGGCATGTGTTGGAAGGATTTACAAGTTGATACTTAACCTGTTTGGCCAAGTTACGAATGCGCTTTCACTGGGTATTAGTCCTGGATGGGATTTGAACCACAGCTTCTGGCTCAGTCAAGAATGTTACTATACTACAAGGTCTTCTCTTCCAGAGAAATATGATTAGACAAATAAACATTAACACTGGCCAAAGGAGGAGCAGTTAGGATGGGCAAACAACAGCTTTGCCCAAGAGGTCTTAGGGAGAATCTTAAAGAAATATGGTGAGAAGGTCCTGTGCTTAAAGTCTAGACTACTAAAGGCACAGTTGATCATGAATTTTTAGTTCCTCTTTTTGTGCCATTCAGATCAAGAGTGCTATTGGAAAGACTCCACAAAATCTGCCACCATTGCCAGAGACAGCAAGTAAACACAAAGCCTGAAAACAGTGATGTTCCAAAAAAAACTGTTACTAAAAAAAAAAACACACTCAATTACATTACTCAGACTTGTATGGAATGGAAGCTTTATTGTGGAACATTAACAAATACAGACACATTATATAGGTATTTGCCTGTATTATTTCTTCTGGACTTCCAACATCCATGGTCAATTGCTGTATTCTGAATAAAGTTAGTTCAGTATTAAACTCCAAACATATTCTCAACCAAGGATGTTGCTTTCACTTCTGGACTAATAAAAAACGACTACAGGTTTTGCCAGAATTGTCACAAATCTTTAAACCTTTAGGTTTGTTCGATCGTGGTACATTTGGTATGGGTCGTTCACATACCAGTTCCGCCTTTTCCAGAAATCCGTCGTCATTTTGTCCAGCATTTTGCATTGGGTCTTGTTACAGAAGACATGTTGTCGGAGTCTACGTTTTCTCGCAGGCCTTTTCTTCCAAAGTCTTTTCTTGTAACCCGCCTAAAAGCAAAAGGTGCAGTGTTCAGGGGCTAAGCAACAGGTTCCATTTCTGGTTCAAAACCTGACGACCATCTGGTTATTGACTTGCTCGCCCAGCTGGCTTGTTTTTGTTCAGATGTTTCGTCACCATGCTAGGTGACATCATCAGTAGAGCCTCCGATGAAGCGATGTTGTTCTACTCCGCTTGGAATTTATACTGTGCGGTCCATTATGGTGAGTACTGGCATTTCTGGTTTTGATCTGTATGGGTTTGTATATGGGGGTCCAATTCTATATGTTTGTTGATTGAAGTATGGGTGGAGAACCATGCTTCTCGGAATTCCTGTGCACGTCTATATTTGGCTTGGGCTACCAATGGTTACCTTGTCCCAGTTAAATTGATGGCCTTCATTGTCTGAATGTACCGATATTAAGGAGAGTTCGTTGTGCCGTTTTGCTGCCAGCTGATGTTCATGTATTCTGATGGCTAGTTTCCTTCCTGTCTGTCTGATGTAATGTTTGTGGCAGTCGTTGCATGGTATTTTGTAAACCAAGTTGGTTTTGCATGTTGTGGGAATGGGGTCTTTAATCCTTGTAAGTGTTTGTCGTAGAGTGGCTGTGGGCTTGTGGACCACCATGATTCCTAGTGGTCTTAGGAGTCTCGTTGTCCGTTCCGATATGTTCTGGATGCAAGGCAGTGTGGTAAGTGTGTTACGTTGTACTGTGTCCTCCTGTTGTTGTCTGTTTTATAGGCATCTGTGGATGCAGTTGCGGGGATATCTGCTTAAAGTGAGGATCTTGCATAAATGTTCTTCCTCTTTCCTGTGTAGTTCTGGTTTCCTCAGGAAAGAGGAAGAACACTTATACAAGGTCCTTGCTTTAAGCAGATATCCCCGCAACTTCATCCACAGATGCCTATTAAACAAACAACAACAGGAGGACATAGTACAACCTAACACGCTGTGCCACACTGCCCTACATCAAGAACATATCGGAACTGACATCAAGACTCCTAAGACCGCTAGGAATCATGGTGACCCACAGCCACGCTACGACAAATACTTATAAGGATCAAAGACCCCATTCCCACAACATGCAGAACCAACGTGGTTTACAAAATACCATGCAACGACTGCCACAAACATTACATCGGACAGACAGGAAGGAAACTAGCCATCAGAATACATGAACATCAGCTGGCAGCAAAACGGCACAACGAACTCTCCTTAATATCGGTACATTCAGACAATGAAGGCCATCAATTTAACTGGGACAATGTAACCATAGTAGCCCAAGCCAAATATGGACACACGGGAATTCCTAGAGGCATGGTGCTCCACCCATACTTCTTTCAAAAACATATAGAATTGGACCCCATCTACAAACCCATACAGGTCAAAACCGGAAATGACAGTGCTCACCATAACGGACTGGACAGTATAAATTCCAAGTGGAGTAAAATAACATTGCTTCATCGAAGGTTCTATTGATGATGTCACCTAGCATGGTAATGAACGTCTGAACAAAAACAAGCCAGCTTGGTAACCAATTCAACAATCTCATCCAGAACCTGAGCTACAGATCTTTGCCAAAACTCTGAGGTACATTTGTTCAATCACAGTAAATGACTGATAAGAAAGGAGAAAACAGCTACATTCATCAGACTTTAGTACAACACAGATGTTCCAAATTCATTTACATCTCACATTTAGCCTCTTTCATTCTAAGTCTCAAGAAACACCAGCTGATATACAAGAGGAAATAATGGAGACATTCCTTCCAAATGGAAGCCATTGATCTACTTAAACAGCATAATTTTATCTTTGTAACTATTGTCCTCGGTTAGATATTTGGTCAATAAGTACATTTTGGCCTGTTCTTCAGCTCATTTTAATTACTATATTTTCAATTTTCTAATCCTACTTTCTTTAAATAAAAAGATTGTCTTGCACTTCTCAACAGTACTTTCAATTTTAATTGCAATTTGAGAGGATTTTCTTAATTACTTAGTCCATGTGACAATCCTGTATTATCTTAATCCTATTGCCACTTTATTTATTCATTCACGGGTCGAGGTGTCGCTGACTAGGCCAGCATTTAATGCCCATCCCTAATTGCCCAGAGGGCAGTTAAGTGTCAACCACATTGCTGTGGATCTGGACTCACATGTAGGCCAGATCAGGTAAGGATGGCTGTTTCCTTCCCTAAAGGACATTAGCGAAATAGATGAAGGAAAATCCCAAAGAACACATTGCCAACCCAGTGCCAGGGTAACATATCTCATTGTGGCTCAGGTGGAATTTGGAAAGGAACAGCATATATGCTGTTATCATCTTGCATATTGGAACAAACGACATAGATACAGGGAGGTGATCCTAATAAGATATCAGGAGTTAGGCTCTAAGTTGAAAAGCAGGACTGAGGGGGCAATAATCTTTGGACTATTGCCTGAGCCAGGTGCAATTGGAGAAGCCAGAACAGAAGAGTTACTGAGGCTAAAAAGACATTCTTTTCACGGAACACTGGCTTCAGTGTAGCAATGCACAAAAAGTTCTACAACTAAACAGTGGAACTGGAGGCAATAGTGTGCTGGGAGAACCCGACATGGCAGGGATTACATAGACATAGTTGGGGTGGGGAAATCAGGAATGGGAACAGTGCATGGTACAAAATCTTTAGAAAAATAAAGAGGAAAACTGGGGAAGTTGAATAGATGGTATTTATTTGGGATTGCACATTAGCTGTAGCAAAAAGGGACACAGCTATTTGTATTGTACACAGTTAAGATCCCTGTATATAAAAATAGGGATGTATTGACATTGTATTATGCAAGAGGACTTGAATATAAAAATAATGAAGTCTTGCTTCAATTACATAGGAATTTGGTTAGACCACATCTGGAGTATGTGTGCAGTTTTATTCTCCTTCCCTCAAGAAAGGTATTATTGAAATAGGGTGAGTGCAACAAAGGTTCACTAGACTTGTTCCTGGTACGGTGGGATTATCCCACTGAGAGAGACTGGGCAAACTAGACCTACTCTCTAGAGTACCAAAATATGAGAGTTGATCTCATTTCAAATTTATAAAATACTTGTATGGATAAACAGAGTAAATGCAGGTAAGATGTTTCTCCTAGTTGGGAAGTCTAGAACCAAGGGGCACAATTTAAAAATAAGGGGATGTATTTAGATCCAAAATGGGGAGCATTTTTTTAAAAAACTCTGAAGGTTGTGAACATTTGAAATTCTCCACCACAGAGGACTATGGAGGCTCAGTCGCTGAGCATGTTTAAGGTAGAGATTGTAAAATTTATCATTACCAACAATGAATGGAGTTACAGGACTGAGGTGGGTAAAAGGCATTGAAGAGTTCAATTATTGATGATCATATTGAATGGCCAGCCCCTGTTCCTATAACAATGCAACAAGGCTCTTTAGGCAGAACTTTGTAAACCCTCAATCTCTACCACCAGGAAGAACAAGGGCTGCAGGTCCATGGGAACGTCACCAGCTACAAGTTTCTTTCCAAGCCACACATCATCCTAAATTGGAACAATATAGCTATTCCTTCATTGTCACTAGATTAATGTGCTAGAACTCCCTTCCAAACAACATTGTGGGTGTACCTGCCCAAGGACTGCAGCAGTTGAAGAAGACAGTCACCACCATGAGCAATATATACGGGCCTAGCCAGTCTTGTCTAAATCCCACAAATGAATAAAAAAAACAGAAGATTTTCCGTAAGAAATATTACGAGAAATAGTCAGTATAAACTTCATAAGGCAGAACTTGCTTGACCAATCTTATTAAACTTTTTGAGGAATCAGTACAGAGTGAACAATGGTAACACAGCAGATGGAATCAATCCAAATTTTCAAAAGGTATTTAATGAAGGTGTCCTAGACACTTAAAGAAAAATCAACCTGTTCAGACATGTTATGAACATGGGCAGCTAGGACCTGAACCCAGATCTTCTATCCCAGAGATATGGCCACTATCACCGTGCCACAAGAACTGTAATAAGGTGACCTATAATAAATGATGGAGATGATGGTAATGGTGGCTTGGTGATGATAACACTGGATCTGTATTTCAGAGGCATCTGATGCAACTGAAATTCAATTAATAAATCTGGAATTGAAAGCTAGTCTCAATAATGTTGACTATGACAGCAATCACCAGTTGCTGCAAAAACCCATCTGGTTCACTATTGTCCTTTAAGGAAGGAAATCTGCTAACTTTACTTGGTCTGGTCTACATACGAGGCCAGGCTCAAAGCAATATTATTGACTCTTGAACTGCCCTACCAAGGGGAAGAGAATAACCAAGGTAAGAGTAGGGCCCACTAGGAACCAAGGGGGCAAACTGTGCAGAGGAGCCAGAGAATATTATTAGGCTGGTAAACAAGTACCTCATATCTGTCTTCACTCGGGAGGAGGAGGATGTAAGTGCAAAATTCAGGAAGAAGAACAATGAGGTTCTTCAGCAGTTTGACATAGGGAGTGAGGAGGTAGTAGAGGCTGTGGTGGCTTAAAAGCAGACAAATCCCCAGGTCTGAGGCGTTGTACCCCAAACTGTTGTGGGAAATGAGGGAGAAATTTCCAGGGGCTGTGACCCAAATTCTACTCCCTTTCTGGCCACAGGGAGGAGCCAGTTGACTAAAGGACAGCTAATGTGGTTCCACTTTTGAAGAAGGGTGGTGGAGCATAATCTAGGGAATTACAGGTGAGTCTGTCTCACATCAGTGGCAGGGATACAATTGGAGAAAATTCCAAACAGAATTAATCTTCACTTGGAGTGGCAAGGTTTGTTCAGGGATAGTCAGCATGGCTTGGTCAGAGGGAGGTCGTGCCTAATAAATTTGACTGAATTTTTCAAAGAGGGACCAGGTGTGTAGATGAGGGTAATGCGGTTGACGTAGTTTATATCGATTTCAGCAAAGCCTTTGACAAGGATCCACATGGAAGTCTGATAAAAATGGCAAAAATACATGGGATTCAGGGTAACTTGGCAAGTTGGATCCAAAATTGCCTCAGTGTTAGGAGACAGAGAGTGGTGTTAAAGACAGTTGTGTGACTGGAGGCGAAAATATAAGGGGTATGATAAGTAAGCTTGTGGATGACATGGAGATTGGCCAGATGGTTGACAATGAGGAAGGATGTAAACAGATTGGTCAGGTAGGCAGATCAGTGGCAGATGAAAGTTAAACCAGTTAAGTATGCAGTCTTGTTACTTTTTCCAAAGTGCATCAAAAGGGAGGACTCAATGAGCGGCAGGACACTAGGAAGCTCAGAGGAATCTTGGGGTGTTTGTCCACAGATCCCTGAAGGCAGCAAACAGATTAATACGGCAGTTACAGCATATGGGACACTTGCCTTTATTGTTTGCGGCACAGTTTCTCAGAGCAAGGAAGCTGTGTTGGAACTATACAAAACATTGGTTAGGCCACAGTTGGAGTATTGTGTGGAAGGATTTGATTGTACTGGAGGACAGACTGAGGAAATTCACCAGGATGCTGCATGAGATACAGCAGTTTAGCTATAAAGAGAGGTCGGATAAGCTTGGGTTGTTTTAATTTCGGGGGAGGTGATGGCCTAGTGGTATTATTGCTGTTAATCCAGAGATCCAAGTAACGTTCTGGGGACTTGGGTTCGAATCACACCACAGCAGATGGTGGAATCTGAATTCAAATAAAACCCCTGGAATTAAGAGTCTAACGATGACCATGAATCCATTGTCGTTTGTTGGAAAAACCCAATTCAGTTCACTAACGTCCTTTAGGGAAGGAAACTGCCGTCCTTACCTTGTATGGCCTACACGTGACTCCAGACCCACAGCAATGTGGTTGACTCTGAACTGCCCTCTGGGCAATAAATGCTGGCCTGGCCAGTGACGCCCTCATCACATGAATAAATAAGGAAAAGAAAAATTGGAGCAGAGAAGGCCAAGGGGGGGACCTGATTCGTGAATTTAAGATTATGAGAGGATACAGAGAGTGGGTAAAAAGCAACTTAATAAAACACGATTTCTAAATTCACTTATGACACCAAATTGGGAGTGGATAGTCAAAAAAGGGGAGAACTGCAACAAATTACAGAAAGACATTAATAAACTTGTAGAATGAGTAAATATTTGGCAAATGAATTGCAATACTGATTAATGTGATGTAGCAGGTTTAGTAGGAAGAATGGGGAAGCCTGTCATTACTTGGAAGGTGCAATTCTAGGTGATACTGCACAGCAAAAAAGATCACTGCATACAAATGCATCAATCATTAAAATTTGCACCACAGATTAACAACCACAAAATAAGTATAGAATTATGCTAAATATATGTCAAATCTTGAACCATACTTTTGTTAACTATATTATTAAAATGATGTAAAGGCAATGGAGAGGGGTGGGGGGGAAGGATGACACTAGAAACATGTGGCTATAAAGAACTGAGAGACTATCCCTAAGAGAAAAGAGTGCCAATCCAATAGACATCTTTAAAGTTCAAAGATGGTCATCAGGAAAGACAATGAGAAATTCAGAAGAAATTACTTCACTCAGGGTGGTGAGAATGTGGAACCTGCTACTACAGGGACTGTTTAAAGTGGACAGTATAGATGCATTTAAAGGGAAACTAAACATAAATCGGAGGAAACAGATGGTTATGAGGGTAGATTTAGATGAAAACGCTGAGAAGTGTCTTAAGTAGAGCATAAACACTGGTGTGGCCTGTTTCTGTGCCATATAATCCAATTTCTTGAACTAATAATTACGTGGACTTGATCAAGTGGGCTTCAGAGGACATAAGATAGAAACTTGAATAGAATTACATGTGGACAAAGACGGCAGGATCCCTTCCTTGAAAGATAATATCATATTAGTTTATTCTTGTTTAAAACCAAATCTGGCAGGACTCATGGTGATTTTATTTCTGGTCACAAGTTCACAGAATCACAGAATATTTATGGTGCAGAAGGCAGCCATTCGGCCAATCGTGTCTGTTCTCCAATTAAGCGACATGATTTAGTGTCCTTCACCCATTCTTTACTTATAACTGTGTTTTCCGTCTTATTGCACCTTTACTGTAGTAAAACATCCCAAAATGCTTCATAGGGAAGTTAGCAAACAAAACTGGAAACAAAACCATACAAGGAGATATTAGAACAGATGACTAAGTGTTTGGTTAAAGAGATAAATCTTCAGGAGTGATTTAAAAAAGGAAAGCATGGTGCAGAGGTTGGTGGGGAAACTGCAGATCCTATGCCTAGGTAGGTGAACACACAGCAACCAATGGTGGAGCAACTTAACCAGTTGTTTTATCACTCAAGGTAAATTGAGTTGACAGAACAAAACTACATGAATGGCCTTTTCGTCTTCCAAATATTATGACCTCATCCGATATTTATTAAACTGAACTTGGGGCAGCCTGGTGGCTCAGTGGTTAGTGCTCCTGCCTCAGAGACTTGGGTTCAATCCATGCTCGGGCGACTTCTGTGTGGATTTCTTCCGGGTGCTCTAGTTTCCTCCCACAGCCCAAAGATGTGTAGCTTAGGTTATGGGAAATGCTAAATTGGCCATGCTAAATTGCCCATAGTGTCCAGGGATGTGCAAACTATGTGGATTAGCTATGGAAAGTGCAGGGTTACAGGAATAAGGTAGGGGGGCTGGGTCTGCGGGGGATGCTGTTCAGAGGGTCAGTGTGGTCTTGACAGGCCAAATGGCCTGCTTCCACACTGTAGGGATTCTTTGATTGTATGAATGGCTGCGTGGTTTACAGAAGGTATTTCTCAAACTAGGACTTTAGATAAATGTGAGGTGTTACATTTTGGCAAGGCAAATCAGGGCGGGACTTATACACTTAATGGTAAGATCCTGAGGACCAACAAAGAGACCTTACAACATTTAAAAGACATCTTGATTGGTCTATGAATAGGAAGGGTTCAGAGGGATATGGGTCAAATGTTGGCAAAAGGGACTAGATTAATTTACGATATCTGGTCGGCATGAAAAAGTTGGACCAAAGGCTCTGTTTCCAAGCTATATAGCTGTATGACTCTAATACAGATTTCTTGTGTGTAGCAATGTGAATTTTTGAGGGTAGCTCCAGAGCTGGTGATCAAAGAGCAAACATACCTGGTACTGCAAGGGGGATTAAAACAATTGCCAATCATAGAAAATATTCCACACATATCACCCCTTTCCTTGCTCCATGTATTCCACTGACTTGACCTCAGCCCCTCATCTCAAACCCCCCCATTTTAGTTAGGAATCTTTGTCTAGCTCTAGGTCCAACAACTTCCTCTGATCCTCTAACCGGGATTTCTGCTCCGTGCTGCACTACCTGGAAACTGAATCTTTATCCCTTTGGTATTCTCTTTCCAAACTTTCCACCTTCATACACATCTCCCTGCCCTACAATTCTTCTATGTTAAATTCCTACATTATGGCATTTCTTCAAAAACAAACTGTATCTCTTTCAATACTGAATGTTGTGAACACAGACCTTTCTCCGCACCCAGAGACCACAGTGCAGCCGTAGGAACCTTTTGACAACAGATTTCACCGATTTCCGTTTTCCTTTACGTAGACTGCAGTAAGTGAGAGCTCTCACCGGTTGTTGAAAATTAATTGCACAACTTGGCACACTATAAACAAAGGAAATAAGTCACATTAACATAACATTTACAATATTCCATCACTCTTTACTTAACATTGGTGAAATTAAGTTTATCCAGTCAGTAATTCTGGCCATGCGTATTGCAATAAACCTTAATATTTGTTGGCTTGGAGACTCTTGAAGATCTCATTAGAAAGGAAAAGTGAAAGCGACAATCAGTGCCATTGAGAGATTTGTCTCCAATTCCATTACCGTCTCTAATCTCAATTCTTTGTTACTGGGAGAACACTGGAGTGGTGATCGGACCCAACAATAGCTGCAAGGAGACTCAGAGGCTTTAAATAAAAAAGAGGGGCAAATGCATAAGACATCAGTGTCTTCTGCTCTTTCAGATACTCACTGATCCATTGTCTATTTCCTTTATTTTCAATTTTTTATCATTTCCTTTCTTTGACCTTCTGAAATTGGTCCATATTAATTACTTGTAGGCCAGGGGAGGCAATGGCCTACTGGTATTATCGCTGGACTATTCATCCAGAGACACAGATAATGTTCTGGGGACCTGGGTTGGAATCCCACCACGGCAGATGGTGGAATTTGAATTCAATAAGCATTTGGAATTAGGAATCTAATGATGACTGTGAATCCATTGTCAACTGTTGTAAAAACCCATCAGGTTCACTAATGTCCTTTAGGGAAGGAAACTGCCATCCTTACCTGGTCTGGCCTACACATGACTCCAGCCCCATAGCAATGTAGTTGACTCTGAACTGCCCTCTGGGCGATTAGGGATGGGCAATAAATGTTGCCCCAGCCAGTGACACCGTTATCCCATGAATCAATAAAAAAGTATGATGAAAGGATTATTCTTTGACACACAAAGATGAAAGCCAGCAGGCGTGCAATTAGCCTTTGATGCAAATACTAATTGTTGTCCAATTTTTGATGTTAAAGAAGCAGGGCCTTTTCTGTGTTGTGTGGATGTATAGGAAATTGATGCTGAGTTATGGATTTAGGTTACATTTATAGGTTTAAAGCCTTACCCATGATCCCTTTTCAGGTTCAGTGACATCTGTTGCTGCCCTACATAAATCCAATGTGTCTTATATTGTCTCACACTGTGAATGACCAAAAACGTGATCAAAGAGGCAGGTGTTAAGGTTTTATAGATGCAAAGAGAGGAACGGGACTGCAGATGTTTAAGAGAGAATTTCCGAGTTTAAGGCCTTGACAGTCTCACCCCAGTTGTCTATGGTTGAGCAATTCAAGAGAAATGGCCAAGTAGTCGGAACTGGAGTGAAAGTACCTCAGAGAGTTGTTTGGTTGGAGGAGGCAAACCAACAAATTGCTCATCGTATGTCTTTTGGGGAAAATAACTTACTATCTAAATGCTTTTTTTAAAATTTGTGTTTCAAAGTATAGTATATTTGCATAATTTGCTTAATTCACCAGCACACAAACAGTTCTTCATGACAGTCTTCATGCACTGAAGAAACAAATCCATTTCATTACCAAGACAAATAAATTCTCTGGACAATAGAAACATACAAGATAGGAGCAGGCGGAGGCCATTCGGCCCTTCAACCCTGCTCTGCCATTCATCACGATCATGGCTGATCGTCCAACTCAACTGCCTAATCCTGCTTTCTCCCCATAAACTTTGATCCCATTCACCCCAAGTGCTATATCTAGCTGCCTCTTCAATACATTCCATGTTTTGGTACCAACTACTTCACGTGGTAATGAATTCCGCAGGGTCACCACTCTTTGAGTGAAGCAATGTCTCCTCACCTCTGTCCTAAATGGTCTACGCTGAATCCTTATACTGTGACCCCTGGTTCTGGACACACCCACCATCGGGAACATCCTCCCTGCATTTACCCTGTCCAGTCCTGTTAGAATTTTATAAGTCTCTATGAGATCCGCACTCAATCATCTGAACTCCAGCGAAAACAATTCTAATCTAATCAATCTCTCCTCATACGTCAATCCCACCATCCCCAGGATCAGCCTGGTAAACCTTCACTGCACTCCCTCGAGAGCAAGATCATCCTTCCTCAGAAAAGGAGACCAAGACTGCACGCAATATTCCAGGTGTGGTCTCACCAAGGCGTTGTGTAACTGCAACAACACGGCTCTGCTCGTGTACTCGAAACCTCTTGCAATAAAGGCCAACTATACCATTTGCCTTCTTTACTGCCTGCTGCACCTGCATGCTTACCTTCAGTGACTGGTGCACAAGGACACCCAGGTCCCACTGCACACTCCCCTCTCCCAATTTACAATCATTCATGTAGTAATCTGCCTTCTTGTTTGCTTCCAAAGTGAATTACCTCACAAATGATCCAAATTATACTGCACCTGTAATTGATGTGCCCACTCACCCAACTTGTCCACACTATGCTGGAGGATCTCTGCATCCTCATCACAGTTCACCCTCCCACCCAACTTGGTATCATCTGCAAACTTTGAGATGATTTTTTCCCTCATCCAAATCACCTAACACCGCTGAATTTTGAAAACATAAATCCCATAATAATCAAAAGAAAATTAGACCATGCTGCACTAACTAAATTCTATTCTAGCAATTGCACCATGAATAGAGGAAAGTATAAACCTCAACATGATTCATCTGGATTGTGGTTCAGTATTAACTTTTAGAGGATTCAACTTAAACAATGTTGGGTGTTTGGATCAACTATGACCTTGTTGAGTGGCCAAGTGGGCTTGAGGAGCTAAAAGATCTACTGCTCCTTGTTTGAATGTACAATGTCAACAAATAGTGTGCGAATCAGCAAAAAAAAGAAAAACCACACCTTGGGTAAGCAAACATTCCCTGCACTCTCCTTTACTTTGCTTTCATTTAATATCCTTTGTGTTTCGGTTCTGTCAGATAGTGCAATAAATCCTGATCAAGAAGACAGGGCAATATGCCATTTCTTTAACTGTAGCAAAGTTACATCATAAACTGGGAAGTGTTTGGACGTAATGAACAAGCGCAGTCCACTTTGGCTCAAACACTAGGACAATCAACACAAACTCTCTGGTCGGACCACAAATGAAGTATGGTGTGGGAGGAAAGCTAGTGTTGAGACTGAATACAAGAAAAAAATACTGTGACTTAAAAGAACAAATGAATTAGATGCACTGAGAGAAGACTGGCATGTTCATTCCTCTGTTACAAGTTGTAAAGAAATAGTGTATGAAAATTTACCCTTGGGCCACACATCCACCTGACTTGGAGCCACTGGATCAAAATCTTAGCACTCCCTCCCTCACTCACGGCATTGTGGGTCTACCTACACCGTTACAACTGCAGTAGTTTTAGAAAGCAGATCACCACTTTCTCAAGGACAATTAGGGAAAGACAATGAAAGTAGGCCCTACCATGATAGCCTAATACTCATGAAAGGGGAAAAAAATGCATCTGAATTTACACACAAAAGATACAAATTAACACAATAAACAAAAGCACTTGAAATTTCTATTTTCAAACTCACCTCTTGATAGCACATAATTTACGTGCACAAGTGAAGTTACTGCCCAAAGGTAATCCCAGTTTGGTTATTGTGGAAATAGTTGGAGATTGAATATATCGGAGGTCGAGGGTGGCAAACCTGGATACAAGCTGTGTAATGGAGGAACCTCCTGCAACATTTTTCTGGGCCAAAGGAAGGAAGCACCTCAATATTCCTTACAACAGAAAGAAAAAACTTTACTTTTAAAAGTTACAATATTTTATTTATCCTTCTTATTAAATTTGTATTTTGCATGGGTATAAAATCAGGGTCAGAATAGTAAAACACTGGTTTAAGTCCTGCAAAATGGATACTGGTACAGCCTGCAAAGGTTTAACATACTTGGTTGGTCTCAGTGTTTAGGTAGCATTATACCACTCCATATCTAAAAACTCTACCTTAACTTTTCCCCTCTAAGTACTTAACCACTTTCTCTTGGATGTACTGATACAATTGAACCCAACTGTTTCCATTAGTGATTCATTCCATTTGCTCATGTGTAAACTGGTTACATATAAATTGCCACTTTATTCTCCCTTTTAAGTTTAATCTTTGTCAATTTTGCAGCAAGTGCAAAGGTATATAACTGAGCCCAAGTTCAACAAAGGACAATTATGAGAATGGAAAAGATATATGCCCAAGTGGATTTTGAAGGAATGGACCTGATGGAGAAGCAAATTCTGTAAACCTCAGTCTGCAGATCAATGATGGAACAGCCTAGCAACCGAAAGTTTTGTTTAACAGTTGCTTGAGCCAAGGTTCCACCGCATTAACTATGTATGAAAGTAACTTACCTCTATTCCTTTCTACCATACTAGCTCACCTGATCAAAGGATGCAAAGAGATGTGCTCCTTTATCAATTCACAGTGGACCACTGCTGAATGTGCCGGCCACATGCTGCAGGATTAACACAGTTGCCCATGCAGCTGATGGCATCTATACATCAGCTGATCCATATTTTGTGATACCCAGTTCTTCCATGGTTATATTAGCATGCACACCACGGCTTACAGAAATAGCTAGTGCCACTTTGGATGCAAGCAATGTGGCATCACTGGCTCTTGACCCTGGTATATCTTCTTTGAAGTTAACACACAAAGTGTGAAACACGAATTCAAAAAGACCATCAGGCAAAATAGTTAATCAAGGAATTAACATATCAAACAATCAACACCTACCAGAGAGAGATTATCTCACCTGCCTGTAGACGCAAGCAGACACAGAGCATTCCTCCAAATAAGTTGATTCAGAGTTTCTAAAATTGGAAAAACTCAGGAAATGCCAGCAAATACCAGCATTCCACACCTGTCAAAATTATAGGAAATTGTGCATCTCAAGCAAATATCCATTTTAACTGTCAATTCACTAAAAACCTAAATGCCTTGGTTCCCTGAGTGTGCATTGTATTTGACATCCTATGAATGGCACAGAAACGCATTTAAATACAATATACAAACAGAAAACTGGATTCCTGTATCGACTCCAATAGAGACCTAAAAGTCACATTGGACCAATAGAAAATGCAAAATAGGTAGAACGAAATTTTCACCAAATTGGGAGTAACAAAGAATAGACATAGTCTCCAGATTTCCAGAACAGTGATGATAAAGTCCTGTATGTCCAAATCCAAGTCTAGAAGCCTATTTCTGAAGGCCAGCGGTCAGGTTGCTACCACTGGCCATAGCAACCTTCCACTGGACTAGGGGACATTCATGGTTTGTAACAAAGTACTTCCAACCTCAAGAATCCTCTGTACAAAATAATTTGCCTGACCTCTGTAGAACCAGAGAAGATCACAGAATAGGCACAGATAAGTCAGTCTACCTCGCCTGATGCCAATATTTCTAAATCAACCACACCAATCTTTTCTCTGATTGAAGTATTTACTCACTCTTTTCTTGAAAATTTGCACAAGTTTCTTGATTTGAAATTTTTTTTTCAACGTTGATTTTGCCACTGAGATTCATATCCCATGCTTGTTCCCAATCGTTAATTTCTGTTGGGAAGATGGTGCTGAACTGCCTACTTGATCTACTGTACACCTCCAATTAGGGAGAGGGAAGACCCAGCAACTCTGAATTAACAATGATATACAGTAGTTCCAAGCCAGGATGGTGAATGGCGCAGTGGGGAACTTGTAGGCGATACTGTTCTAATGCATCTGCTGGCCTTAACTTTCTAGATGGTAGTAGTTATATATTTGGAAGGTATTGTTGAAGAAGCCTTGATGAATTTCTGCAGTGTATCTTGTAGCTGGTAGAAGATGGCACATCAGAAGCAAAAGCCGCGAAAGTTGAAGGTGGCAGATTGATTACCAATGAAGCAGTCTGCCTTGTCCTGGATGGTGCCAAGCTTCTTCAGTGCTTTTGGAGCTGCAACAATCCAGACAGGTGAGGAATATTCCATCACACTCCTGACTGGTGTTTTGATGATGGGGAAATCAGGAGGCGAGTTAGGATTTGTTGCCTTTACCTCTTATAGCAACAGTCAGTTTCTGCATCACTTTGTTTCAGATTTCCAGTATTTTGCCTTAGTTTACAGATTTTTAGCTTCAGAGATGTTATTACACACCTTTGGAGCAGGTGAGACTTGAACCTGGGTCTCCTGGCCCAGAGGCATTTACAGATTTAAGGTATTTCCTAATCAATCAGTCCAGAGACGGCAGTATACCCTCTGGAGCTGGTGGACGCTCTGTGCAATTCAGTTTCTGATCAATGACGAGCGCCGGGATATTGATAGTTATTATCAAAATGTCACTGAGCAACAAGGGGCCTCTCATTCCCTCTCATTCATACTTGGCAACAAAAAAAAAACCAAAAATGCCCAAAGCATTCCAGGCTTGTCCAGACTCACTGGCGAATAGCCGCCTCCACTCTGTCGGTTGACGGAAGGCGGTGAGGGGCCTCCCCCGGGGATTGGGAGGTGAAGGGCCCGGGGCAAAGGGACGGTTTGACCCTGGAGACGAGAGGGCGGCCCGACCCGTAACCGTGGGCCAGGAAGCCTCAGATCCTCCCCCCCGCCCGTATTACCCATGCAGTCCCCTGTATCTCCTCCCGTATCCCCCATCGCCCTGTATCTTCCCCTCGGTTGTACTCACCCGTTGCACTCCTCAGCGCCGCCATCTTCACCAACGGTAGCCTGCTGCAGTCAAAACCCAGACTCGCGAAATTCAAAACGTACCTACAAACTCAGTGGGGCGGGGGTGACGCCTGCATTTATAAATTGTTATTTCCACAAAATGGCTCGACAAATCCAAGTTTTAACCTGTCCCGAAACATTTCACTGGGTGAAAGGAGAACGCAAATCAAATACTTTCTTAAGCCAGTGTTGAACTGAGCTGCTTTGGTCTGTCTCCAGATTAATTACCTGGAAGAAAACCAAATAGAAATTGCTGGAAAAGCTCAGCAGGTCTGGCAGCATCTGTGCAGAGAAATCAGAGTTAACGTTTCAGGTCCAGTGACCCTTCCTCAGAATTATCTGGAAAGGAATGGACAAGCTGGGCCTAAGGGCCTGTTTTGTGCAGTTTGTATGATTTCATGAATATCGATGTTGATTTTCAGTTTTAATTTGGCCAATTATTTAACAGGACTGTGTACTATCTGTAGTTACCTTGGAGTGCAGAATTTCAGTTCTGAGGAAGGGTCACCGGACCCGAAACTTAACTCTGTTTTTTCCTTCACAGATGCTGCCAAACCTGCTGAGCTTTTCCAGCAAATTTGTTTTTGTTCATGAAAAGTTAACTCTCCTTTCCCTCCACAGATGCTGAGTTTTCCAGCAATTTCTGTTTTTGTTATGGACAATTTGCGAATGGGTTGACAAGTGGCATTTAATGCAAGGACTGCATTAATTCAAAGTGAAAGAACTGCGGGTGCTGGAAACTCAGCAGGTCTGCTAGTTAATGTTTCGGGTCCAGTGACCCTTCCGCAGAACTGCATGAGCTTGCCGATTGGAGACAAAATTGGCTTAACGGCAAGAGACAGAGAGTGGTGATGGAAGGTCAATTTTCAGACTGGAGGCCTGCTGTTTAGGGGTGTTCCAATGGGATCAGTGCTGGGTCCACTATTGTTTGTCATTTATTTAAATGATTTAGATGAGAATATAGATGAAATTGGTTAGTAAGTTTGAAAATGACAACAAATTGGTGGAATATTGGACATGAAGAAGTTATCTAAGATTATAAAGAGATTTTGATCAATTGGGTCATGGGCTGAGGAGTGGCAGACGGAATTTAATTTGGATAAATGCAAAGTATTGAATTTTGGTAAAACAAACAAGGTAAGGACTTACACAATTTAAAGTAGGGCCTTGGTTGTGTGGTAGAACAGAGAGACCTAGGGGTTCAGTTACATAATTTCTTGAAGTTCACCTCACAGGGATGTTAAGTAAGCGTTAGCATGCTTGCCTTCATTGCTCAGACTTTTTGACTATGAGAGTTGGGACATCATATTGAAGATGCACAGGAAGTTGGTGGAGCCTCTTCTGGAGTATGGTGTTCAGTTCTGGTTGCCCTGTTAAAGGAAGGATATTAATGAGCTGGAGAGGGGTCAGAAAAGATTTACGAGATGTAGCCAGTAATAGAGTCTTTGAGTAATAAAGAGAGGCTGGATAGACTGAGACATTTTCACTAGAGAGTAGCAGGTTGAGGAGTGACCTTATCGATGTTTATAAAATCTGTTTCTGTGCTGTATGACTCTATATAGCTTAAAGAGAGTCCATCAGTCCTGAGGCAGCGCCTGAGCCACCATCCCACGTCCACTGCCTCACCGCCGAATACACCGAACCCGACCAACGTTCAAGTTGTCACTCTTCAGGCAGCATCTTTTGCCACAGGGCCAATTCTCCCCATCTCGCCGCTGCCTGTGCTAGACTTACCAAAAGCAGAGTCGCATCTCTTGCTGCTGGGCCCACCTCCAATCCACCATCACTAACGCCGGACCCAACCAACAATGAAGTCACCAATCCTCAGGCACCATCTTTTGCTGCTGGACCCACCTCGCTGACATCACTTCCACTGATGTAGCAGCTGCTGATTCCAATGCCAGGTCCCACGCTCCCACGGAAAAGAAAGTAAGGGTTCACTTGAGTCCGCTCTGGGCTCACTCACAGCCACCACGAGATCCACGCTGGGATTTCTTGCTGCTGCCTATATTGAGTAAAAGGAAGTAAATAAGTAAATAAAGTAAAGAAAAAAAAAATCAAGAAACAAAGAAAAACAGTTGGAATGGACAAGCCCTGGCACAGGAGCCCTACTCCGCTGCCATATGAGGGCAAATAGATTGTATTAAATTTGTCTATTTATGAGGAAATAAGATTATTATCAAAAAAAGAAGAATGTGCACGCTTACGATGAGAAACCAGGGAAGGGCACTAGGTGCCATTCAGAGACCTGGTGGAAGATTTGACAGACCAAATGGGCTCCTTTTATGCAGTTATAATTCTAGGATTCTGAGTGACTTTTCCATAGCATTAAACACTTGCAGATTACTTTTAATAGATCAAATAATCTCTTTCTTCAACATTTCAAGGAAACCAATGTTGGATGTAAAGTCAGTCACATAAGAAATTTGTAAATTTTGGCAAATTCAATAACTCATCAGTTATTCTCAGAACACATTAAATGTTCAAATAGTGTACAGGAACTGTCAGAGGCACTGTGGGAAATACAATCAATTAATAGTTAAACTCAATAGATATGTGATTTGTAAGTCTAACCCGGGTAAGCCAAAAATTGTTAAACAATAAATCCCTCTGGATTGGTATTTAGTCCAGGCTGCTAAAAGAAACTAGGGACAGATTTAATTATATTATGAAGAAATAATTGCATTCTTGAAATGTATCTGATTCAGGGGATTCCAACAACTTACAGGACATCTCATTCCACAGCATCAGCAGGAAAACCTTTGCCATAGTTATTCTCATGAGGTTTCATCAACTAGCTAGTCAACAGGACATACCTGGAGCCAACAGAATATACTTGGAAGCACCATGAGGCTTCAGAGCAGACATCCTTAGTGGACATGATCTTCCCCCTATGTCAACATCAAGACAAATGCTGAGAGCAGCAAATACCACTCTACCTTGGTTTTTTGGGTCCCACAAAAGCATTTGACATGGTGTGCATGATGGTCTTCTACCAGATACTACAGACAAACTGGAAGTCCTCCCAATCTTTGCAGACTTATACATGATAATAGACAGTGCAACATTCAGTCTGCCAGTTCCATATCTGAGTGTTAATATCCTAAAGGACTTGACAGAGTAGGTGCAGTGAGGTCATTTCCTCTTGTGGGAGAATCTGGGAGGGCATATGTTAGAATAAGAGGTTTCACAGTTAACAGGGAGATGAAGAGGAATTTCTTCACTCGAAGGGTAGTTAATCTGTGAAATTCTAAACAACCCAGCCTTGCCAGCCCTCTGTGGTAAAGTATATTCAAGGCTGAGATGGACAGATTTTAATTGGTAAAGGAATCAAGGGCTAAAGAGTAAAGCAGTAAAGTAGAGTTGAGGGTTATCAGATCAGCCTTGATTTTGTTGAATGGCAGATTAAACTTGATGGGTTGAATGGCCTACATCTGTTCCTACATCTTACAGTCTTATAATCAAGAATAGAGTGAAATAAGGTTGTATCTCAATCCTAACTCTATTTAGAGATAGTAGGAACTGCAGATGCTGGAGAATCCGAGACAACAAGGTGCAGGGCTGGATGAACACAGCAGGCCAAGCAGCATCATAGGAGCA